CAAGGATCTACATATAACCTCCTCCCTGGGGGATGGAAAACAGAAAAGTGGGTGAAGGGAAACATCAGAAAGTGCAAAATATGACAAAATAATAATTTATAAATTATCAAGGGTTCAGGTGGGAGGGGCGAGCTGGGAGGGTGGGGATGAGGAGCTGATGCCAAGGGGCTTACGTGGAGAGCAAATGTTTTGAGAATGATGAGGGCAATGAATGTCCAAATGTGCTTTACACAATTGATGTATGTATGGATTATGATAAAAGTTGTATGAGCCCCTAATAAAACGATTTTTTAAAAAAGAGAGAAATATTCAAAATACGTTAGAAGATCTCTACCACAAATAGGCTTGAAGTTGATTTGCTGGCTCTCAGAGGGCTTCTCCATTCACTGTGAGATGTTCCACCTGCATCTTGGCCCCTGATCCTCTGAGTTCTCTCCTGTATGATATGCCATGATACCCACTCTCATGGGCCTGCTGGGACTATCCAGTGAAAGGTGTGCATGCATGCCCAACAAGTGTGAACACTGGTTATTATATCTACTTCCATTGCCGAATGGGGTACCCTTCAGTTTCCTGGGCCCTCTGTTTATGTGGCTCATGTCCAGTGACAGGGAGGTACATGATGTGTGGTGTGGGTGTACAGCTGAGGAAATAAATGCACACCCATGTGCACATATGGTGCAAAGATCCTCTCATCCTCTCTAGACTTGCAAGACAGTCCCAGGACATGCCAGGGCTGCTGCCACAGGGTCACAGGCCACACAAGGGACGTGTCCCTGTGTTGGGTACCATCTGTTGCCATCCCACAGCTCCCACACCATATACTAGTACCCTATTGGCAAGAGCAACAGCAGCAGCTGTATATCAGAGCAGCAGCCACTGTGTCTCTATTACCCACGGCATCTCATTTAACCTATACAACAGACTATACACAGACTGACCCCATATTACAAACAGAAGCCCAGAAAATGCTAGGCATTTGCCCAAGGGTGCACAACATGTCAAAGGTGTAACCAGTTTTCCAGCCCTCATCCCAGGCCAGTCCTGCCGGCCAGGGCTACCTCCACTTTGCCTTCGGTCCCACGACCCCTCCAATCCCTTGGCCAGGCATGTTCTTACCTCATTCTCGTACACCAGCAGCTGGGCCTGGCAGAGGAGCAAGTAGCGGTCCTTCCAGAGACTCAGGAGGCCCCCCCCACTCTTCTTGATCCAGCCAGCCTTGTCCGCTGTCCGCATGCCTCTCGGCTTCTCACTCACCTCCTTTGTGCCCTGCAAGACAGTCCCAGGACATGCCAGGGCTGCTGCCACAGGGCCATGCCCTCTGAGGCCATGCCATTATCACCCACAAGGCCCGGTACCCGAGGCTCACAGAGAATGGCTGGCTTGCCCAGCATCACACAGTTGGGGGGTGGGGGTACAGAGCCAGATTTCCAAATCCAGTGTCTCTGGACCTCACTTTCTTCCCACTCCAGTGTCCCACCTCCTGATGCCTCAGTACATGTTTACTCAACCAGCCCACAGGCTGGGCTAGGCTGGAGGGAAACTGCCCTTGTGGAGCTCACGTGGCGGGAGGAGGAGTTGAGTGAAAGCACCCAGCAGACATCGCCAGTCACAGATGGAAAATGCCACTGGCGAAACAAACGGAGGGCAGGCGTGGTGCTGAAAGACCTCCCAGAGGATGTGATGGTTCAGCAGGGAGCAGAAGGATGGGGAGAGGCAGGCTGGCAGAATAGTCAACAGGTCATCAACCTCTCTACCTGCCCCCCTGCTTCCTGCCCTCACCCCACCTCAAGGACTTCAGGGTGGCCACTCCCTTGACATAAATCCCATCTGGTGAGGTTTCTAAGGGCCCTTTGCCTTTGACCACAGCCTGGTAGAGGAAGTGTTGAACTCGGGGCCCTTCTAGACAAGGTTAGCCAAGCTGGAGTCTCAGGCTAGCCACAGCTATCTTACGGCCCCTTCCCTTAATCCCCTAATATCTGTTTAAGTGGCTGTAGGCCAAGGACATGTTGACCCATGATCCACCTTGGGGTGCCCAGCCTCTGGTCTTTTACACAAAGCAGTGCTCAAGAAATATCAGTGAAATGAAAATACACAGCCACTCAAAGTGTTGAACACTGCTTCAGTAGTAGGTAGCCACCCCTCCCCACCCCGCCTTGGGGTGTGTGGGAGGGAGGAGGGAAGGAGACCAATCAAGAGGGTGTCACAATCTGGAGGGTGCTAGAAGGAAATTAACACTGACACAATTCGGAGTCCTTTATCATTTACATAAAACTAAAAAAAGGGTTAGTGGGGGGGGCTGGGGCTGGTCAAAAGCGACGTGCCTCTCCCTGGGACACCCCCTTGGCCGCAGCTGCCTTAGGAAAGGCAAGCCCAGGCAGACAGAGGTGTGGTGAGCTGTCTGTCAGCGGCTGGGGCAGGGCAGGGCTCTCTGGACTGCATCATACAGGGGAGCCCCACAGTGGTTCTCACTTTGAGCTGCAAATTCTGGTGGCTGGGTGTCTGGCCTTTGAAACCCAAATCCTACAGAACAGAGGCAAGTCACTCAACCCCTCTAAGCCTCTGTTTCTTCCTTGGTGAAATGGAGGTATTAACAGTAGAAGTTCCTAGGATTGTAACACTGTGAGAGCAGGGGTTTTTGTTTTGTTTACTGCTGTAGCCATGGTGCCTAGAACAGTGCCTGGTACATAGTAGCTTAATAAATGTTTGTTGCTGAGTAAGGATAAGGCGTGTAAAACAGTTTGCCTTTGCAAATGGCAGCCATCATCTTGTTACTGTGCTGCCCCTGCCATTTCCTCTGAATCTCCAGTACTCTCTTCCTGGGTACGGTTCAGATTGCACAACAAGGTCCCTCCAGGCCCCAGGGCCCCAGGAATTCGGACTGCCCCCTAAGGGTCTCCAGGGCAAGGGAACCTGAGCAGTGAGATGGTGCTAAATGGCCTTCCCTGATGGAGGGTGAGGAAGTAGGAGGCTTGCCCATGGGTCAACTATGAGATACCCTGTCCAGACGATAAAGGGACCTCACTTCAGGACCCTTCCACAAGAAGCAGGAGGCTCTCATGTCCTATCCCTGCACTCACTGCCCCTCCCCATATCAATACTGACACCCTGTGAGGCGCATGAGCTCCAGAGGTTCAACCTACCCCCAGTGGTCCCTGAGGGCAGTCAGGAAGCCAGGGTGAGAAGGGCAGAAGTAAGAAATGGGAAACCTCGCCCCCCACAGTTGGCCCGCTCATGATCCCCATGTCCTAGGCCTGCTGTGGCCACAAGGGCAGACTTCCGTGCCTCCAACCAGACAGTGGGGCTATGGGATGTAAAGCGCTGGCTGGGTCACTGACCTCAGAGCTCCAGACTTGCTCCTGCTTTCCAAAGAGTCTACCTTCCATCCCACAGGACCTCACACTTTTCTAACCTCCCTCTGCTGTGGCCGTGGTCTGCCTCACCCGCTGTTTGCCACATGCAGCTCCCAGGGTCCAAGGCAAGACCTGTGTCTGGACCACTGTCCTCTGGCCAAGCAGAGCAGGTCCAAAGCACACTGTGACTGGATTCGCTGGAGGAACCAGGTCAGGGCTGCGGCAGGAAGCTTTGGGGTTGGGTAGAGGCCGGGGGGAGACTGAGAAGATAGCATAAATGGAAGCACAAGGAAGGATTTCCTGTCAGGAATCACCCTCAGCAGCAGAGCCCTGTGGGTGGCCTGGCTGGAGACCAGGGTCCTGCTTACTGGCCACCCTCCACCCAATCCTTCTCCCTACTTCTCAGATCCCCTCTTACCAGGGGGCCTAGCTCGGCCCCAGTGAGTTCTAATAATTGGCCCCTCCCCTTGGCAGGGCTCATAGGAGAGGTTTTGTCCTTTCCAGCCCAGTTTCTCAGCCTCCTCCTCTTAATAACCAGCTGACCACTGCTCTTCCTGTTTTGCCCTCTCCCCTCCCACCCATCCTCACCCAAGCCCTCCCCTGCCCACCAAGATCAGCTCCCGAGGCACCCTGGGAGCACCAGCCGGGCTCCTCTTCGCCTGAGGTGGGAGGGTCTCTGAGCCATTCATTATTTCTGAAAAATATGCTAGGTACTGGGGTGAAGATGGGGTCAAAGAGGGATGATGTCAAGGAGTCCATGTAGAAAAAGGTCGTTTGGAAACTGATTGTGGGAGCAACTGTACAATTCTACTTGATGTGATTGAACTATTGAATGATATGATATATGCATTAAATCCCAACTACTTAAAAAAAACCAGACTTTACCAAAAGATCAAAAAGAGCAAAAACTATATGCTAAGGTGACCCTAACTCTGCACCAACAGGAGTAAGTGGAAAGGCAGAGCACATCCCCCAGAGCATGACAGAGGGGCAGACCAGCCACCTCATCTCACCTCACAGGAAGCCAATCCTGAATGGTGCTCCAAACTCTATCGTGAACCCATCCTGTCAGAGCCTTGTGGTGGGCAACCAGAGAGAGGAAGCACAGTCTCTATCCACATAGAACTCCCAGTCAGGTCAGGGCGGGGGTGGTGGGGGTGGTGGGGGAGGGTGGTGGGGTGGGCGGCGACACACAGTCTCCACCTCAGGGAATGCCCCTCAACCGTTAGATAGGGGACAGAGCAACCTGGGGGAACATCCAGTCTGAGGGGGGTGGCACAGACCCTGCCAAGAAAAATCCCGGACAGGGTTGGTAGGCACTCCCTGCTTGAGAGGGTCTCCAGTTGTTGGGAGAGACATAGGAAGGGTCTGACGGATGGGTACCCGGGCCTCCCTCCCCTCCTCCCTTTCCCTCACCCCCCCACCCCGGCTAAGCGTTCAGTTAGGGTACAGGAAGTCTCTGTCGAAGGCAGGGTTTGGGTGTGGATGTAAGGAAAGACAGATATAAACTTTGGCCCAGAGTAGAAGGAAAGGCACAAAGCTTGTCGAAGACCCTGGGCCCCTTCACTATAGAACAAGCCAGGCCCAGAGAGGGCAAGGGATCAGCCCGATATCACAAAGCTGGTGCTGGGACAGGACACAGCTCAGCCTCTTCTAGGAGTGAGAACTGAAATGGACAGTCAGGCGTCACCCAAGGCGTAGCCAGGATAAGACTGGACTGTTGAGGAGTCAGAGGGAAGGGATTGAACCCCAGGGCAGAGACAGGAAGGCCCAAAGCAGAGTTTTCAACATGACCTCAATGGTAACCATACTACGCTAAGCTGATTGTTTGCAATTTCCAAAGCTCTTGCACACATGTCATCACATTTTTGGATTGTCCCCTCTCCTTGCTTTACAGATGGGGAAACCAAAGCCCTGAGAACACAGTAGGCAGATGTCCACATCAGCAAGCCTCAGCCTGAGGGACCTATCAGCACATTGAACAAAGGATGCCACTGAGGCTGAGAGGGCTTGGCATGCAGGGGGAGGAAGCTCAGAGCTAGTGGGGAGGCTAAAAGCAGTATCTGAACATGAGGTGGTAAGTGAGACCTCCTGGGACTGGGGTCATGGGACGATGGAGCAGGTGACTATGATCAAAGAAGTGTTTTAGAGAAACAAAGATGGGTGCCGAGGCCTCAAAAAACGTGGAAAGGCTACTGGGAGAGAAAAGAGAGGCAAGGATGCTAAAGGGGAGGCAGGGATGAAGAAGCACAATTGGCTAATTCCACAGATGCCCCAGGTATGGCAGGAGCTCTTGGCATCAAGGAGTCAGTAAATGGTAATGTTAGAGACCAAAAGGAGTAAGCAGGGCTGGGCTAGCCATAGACAAACCACAGCCCTAGGAGGACTACTCTTATTTGGGGGCCATGGCAGACAGGGAAATGGAGCAATCCATACCCACATCCTCCAGGAGCCGGGAAGGGGCACCAAGCAGAAAGCCCAGCCCTTGATGCAGCAGAGGCTCAAGGTACAGGGAGGGAAGCCCCAACCCAGGCCCCAACCCAGTCGTCAGAAAACCACAGCAAATCATAGTGGCCTGACTTTGCTGCCTCCCTCCACCCATTCTGAGAGAAGGGGTCACAGTCATATTGTCAGAAGTGGAGAGGAGGCCAGGTCCTATATTTTATAGAAGAGGAAATACAAGCTGAGACGGGAAGTGACTTATCTACAGTCCTACAGCAATACAGGGCCTGGCCTATCACGACGCTGACGTCCTTGGACAGTGGCCGTGGGAGTAGGGAAGTGGGTACTGATAGGGATAGAAGTAGACTTGTCCACTCAGGGCTCCCCCACTGGCCAGGGCTGCCCCCAGAGTGAAAGATTCACCTTTCCTCCCCACCCACCCAGGCGTAAACCCATATACCCTTCTCTTGGGTT